GTTGATTAATAGAATCTTCCCCTACCTTGAGGGTGTGACAGAGAAATCTCCAACCTGAGGGGTGATGTTTTTTGGTTGTCTAACCCGAGGCTCTGCCAAGGGTTAGACAACCAAAAAAATCACCCTGAAGGTCAGGGATTTCTCTGTTACACCCTCAAGGTAGGGGCTGATTATTTTTCTCCCATCCTATTATTTCAGTCAAAGCTCCACCGACAGTAGTTTGCCATGTTTGTAAACAAAAACACATGTGGGGTATGTATATCGTCATTCACTTTTGATGACGTAACAATGATATCGATGACACATTTTAATGACGTCACAATTCAACACATGCTAATCGGCACGAGGCTATTTCCCCCTAGGGGTGACTAATAGAATCTTTCACCCCCTTGGGGGTGAGATAGGAGAATCTCAACCCGAGGGGGAGGATTCTTAAGTTGCCAAACACGAGGCTTTGCCAAGTGTTTGGCAACCAAAGAATCTTTCCCCGAGGGTTGAGATTTCATTATCTCACCCACAAGGGGGTGAATGATTCTTTTTCTCTTACCCTGTTCTTTCATTGTGTATCATATGCACAATGTAATGATAACGTTACATGCTAAATTCAGAGTTGACGTGATGTTGATGGATTGTTGACGTGACGTCATTGTATTGTTAAAGTGACGTCATGCCATTGTTAGGAATAGGGGAATCCCCCCGTCTCAACCCTAGGGTGAGACTAATAGAATCATTCACCCCCTTATGGGTGAGATAGGGGAATCTCAACCCGAGGGGGAAGATTCTTATGTTGCCAAACACGAGGCTTTGCCAAGTGTTTGGCAACCAAAGAATCTTTCCCCGAGGGTTGAGATTCCACTATCTCACCCACAAGGGGGTGAATGATTCTTTTTCTCTTACCCTGTTCTTTCATTGTGTATCATATGCACAATGTAATGATAACGTTACATGCTAAATTCAGGGTTGACGTGACGTTGATGGATTGTTGACGTGACGTCATTGTATTGTTAAAGTGACGTCATGCCATTGTTAGGAATAGG